ATAGCGCAGTCGGGTCTGTATCTGTGCCCGACGACCGCGCTCTGCGGGGCTGTACTCGGCCGAGGCGACGCAGCTGCCATACCTGCCGTCGCAGTCGCCGCTCAACTTTACGAATGGGACAGCGACCTTCTTCACGCGCAACGTCACGCTGCCTGTTGGCGACTATGCGGCGTTCGTGCTCACAACACTGCAAGGACTCCAACTGCCCAACACGTCGGTGCGCGTCGACCTCGTGAGCTACACGCTGGTTCGCGTTCTCGCGCCGGTCGAGCCGCCGCTGCTCTCGACAACGGAGTACGCGTACATTGGCGTCGGTGCCGCTCTCGCCGTGCTCGCACTCGTGTTCTTGACCGTCTGTCTTTGCCGCCGCCGTCGCCGCAAGCAGCACGCAGAACAGGTCATGGCGGCATATGCCCGCGCCAACACCCGCGTCTCGAACCGACGACCAAGTCCCCGGCGCGTGCTGTCACTGCGGCGGTCGGGTCGCTTGAGTCCGCGGCGAGTGCTTTCGCAGCGGCAGTCAGGGCGAAGTAGCAGTCACGGGTACCGCCACCACGGCTCGGTCATTCGCCTCGGGCACTCGCCGTACATGCAAGCGTCGATGCCGCTTCCTACGACATCCTCCTCGGTATCGTTGTTTTCAAACGAGATGGACTGGGTAAATTTCGCGCCCTCACCATGGCATCACGGCCAGTCGGACATGTACAGTCGGCACTCGGACAGCGGGTCGTCGCCCGTCGACTCGACCGAAGGCTACTACACCGAGACGTCCTTCTCGTCGCCGTCGCACGGTATCACCGCGTACCGTATTTAATGAACTTAACTCTAGACTCGTTTCCATCGCGTTCGTTGGTTGGCGCACATGGTGCCAACAATATGAGCTACGTCAAGGGACATCAATTATATCCCTTGGCTAGGTTTGTGGAGAAAAGCAACAGACACGACCGACGATTTTGATTGCAGTATGTAGATGATCCCACCGATCGACAGTCATACTTGAATCGTTGGCACCGAGTCGGAGAGGGACCGCTTCGGCGGTGTCAGTCGCGCCTTCTCGACATCATCGGCGTCGGAGGCCTTGGTGGGCGAGCTCAAAATCACGAGTGCCGTCCCCGCCAGCACGAGGAGGCCGCCACCGAGCGTGAGCAGACCTACGGCGCATCCTCAGCGTCCCATTCGAAAAAACACTCCGATCAAGAGAGATGGAGATATATGTAATACCTGGGATCGCTTCGACCTGCGCGAGAATACCGATGACGGTCGCGATGATGGGTTCGAGGAGCATCACCATCGAAATCACGATCGGCTCGAAATAGTAGAGGCCGCGGACGTAGCCCATGGTGCCAATGAAATCGCAGACGAACACAATGTAGAGGGCGACCGGGAGGCGGTTTGCCGCCGGCGTCATCCAGCCGTAAAGACCGACCGTGGGGTCCATCGAGAGCTCAAGGGGCGCGCCCATGCACACGAGGAGCGTGAGGAGGATGCCAGCGCCAATGAGGTCGAGGTAGTACATGAACACCATGAGGTCGACGTTGGGGCGAAGGCGCTCGGCCTGCGTGAGGTAGAGAACGCCACCGATGGCACCGAGGAAGGCCACGAAATCGCCTTCCATCGATGGCAGCGTGATCGGTGCGTTCGGATCCGACACGTGAAAGTCGAGGGTCGTCACGATGCCACCGATGAGCCCGATGAGCGTGCCGGTGAGCTGCGCGCCGGTCACGGGCTGGCGGAACACGAGCTTCCCGAGGACGAGGAGGAGCGAGTGGCAGTTGTTGAAGATGTACGCGTGGCTCACAGACGTCATGTCGAGCGCACAGATGAACGTGCCGAGAAAGATGACGTAGCCGATACCAGCAAACGCCATCGAGACCACGTCGATGGTCGTCGGCAGCTAAACATGGCAGGCATGTGACGACATGGATCATTGAAACGAGGTGGGTAGAGAACTACCTTGAAGGAGCATCCGCGGGCGTAGGCGAAGAGGCCCATGAAGAACGCAGTCGCGGTCATACGCCAGAAGAGCTTGAGGAGCGGCGTGACGCCGGTCTGGAGGTCGAGCGCGATGCCGACGGACGAGACAGTGATGAGGCTGGCAGCGAGGATGAGTGTGCCCAGCCATGCCTGCAACGGCGACGTGTGGATCTCGGTGACGGTCGCCGACGCGTAGAGCGCGGTCGTGAGCGTGGCCGGGTCTTCCTCGAACGCGTTGGAGCGGGAGATGGACCGCAGGACGCGCGAGGTCTCTTCAAAGACGTTCGACTTGGAGAGCGATCGGAGCAGGCCTGAGGACTCGGTGGGCGTGTGTGGTGTCGTCATGGTGCTGGCGCTTGAGGCTGGTGCTGGCGCTTAAGGCTGGCTGGTGCTGGCGGTGGCGGGGACAGAGGCCAAGTGACCGACGAGAGCCAAAGATTGGAATCGTTGTGACACGCAAGTCCGAATTGAAACAAAAAGGCCGAATTGAAGCCTGAAAATAGGGCAAAGCTGAATTAAAGTATATTTGCCTGCGAGCGTTCGCCGTGGCTATGCAGCGTAACAGCAGCGACACCAACCACGCGACGTTGAAGCGGCGACAGGTGGCCCGACCCTTGACGACCAAACCGGCGCCACGATGATCGCTTGTTCAGCTGTGTGTGTATAGAGCGTCTACTCGTACTTGTGGCTTCCTACGCGTCGAATTTGGCAGCCTTGGAGGTCGACTCTACCTGGTGCTCTGTCGTCGAGGCGGAATAGCTGGGTACGACAAGCCTACCAGCCACCTGTGGGCACCCATTTGAAGTCGGGTCTGGTCGGTGCCACGTCTCCAGTGTGCGGCGCTCGCCACAAGAGAATTTGCGGCAGGCTTGGACGCTTGGAAGTTTGGATGCGACCAAGCTGGCGAGACTGGATTGCGCAACGTCACTTGATTTTGCAGCGACCGGAGAAGGATCGGACAGTGGATTTATGGCGCGAGGATGTGCATCGACCATGCACGCAGAGGCCTCCATAGAGAGCATCGCAGGACGCTCACCAACTTGTTGATAGACGCCAGTGTCCACACGGCAGGAAATTCCATTGGTCCACACGCATGATACACCTGCTGTCTAGCTGCGTCGACCAGACAGATGGTTGACATTGAGAGTGCCCTATTGATAGCGCGTACTAATAGTTGAGGTCGACGACACGAGGGTCGACGATTCCATAATTTTATTCGAATGCGGAGAATCCGTTTTCTTTGCCTCGACCATCATCACCCATCAGTGATGCATGACCTTTCTGAACTGTGTTGGAACTTTTAGAACCACGAGATGCAGTCGAATGGAGGAGATTCATCGCACGCTAGAGGCGCTCTACGAACTTCGGTTAAAAACACACAACATCTCAAAATGGTGTTGCTCGTGGTAGGTAGTGGGCATTATATGTAATGGGCCAATCAGGATGGGCGGCACCCACCAGGAATCGAACCCAGATCTACCTGGTGGCCACCCGCGGCTGCACCGCTCGAATAAACGCTTTCTTCGATCCCATACTAGTGACCGGTCTAACTTAAAGATCCAATGATCAAAAGAGGGTATCGGTGCAGGTATTTGGTGCCGGAAACGAAAAGCAGCAGCAGCGCTTTTCTTGAAATTGATTGGGCACCAACACATCTGGCACATCCATAAGACATCTGCAAAACTGCTGCGTCGCCACGAAAACGGACAATTGACAGGATGCACTCCCACCCTGGTGCCCACCACGATAAATTCCCGCCACATGAAGACTTCAACGGAGTACAAGACAACACCTTGGTTGAGAACCGAGCGGTCAGGTTCTTGCTGGGGCACAGAGGATCGCTAGAATTCACCTTTAACCACAGCTAGTCTATCTTGCGTCATGATCCTCGCGGGCCTCAATATGAGGGATTTGCCAGGAGCAGTGTAAACTGGTTCGTAGACTTTTAATGTAGCGATATGTGTAAAGATCGTTGGTTCCGCGCTCAACTGGGGTACCTCAATCCAACCACGAGGAATGGTTGACAGGGAACCTACCTATAAGATGGATCATTGCTGATTCTACTAAAAGGGTTCCGTGCTGATTGTTCGGTTATGGCCCACAAATTGCATGTAGGGTTAGGTATCCGTAGACGCCTGCATAAACCGTTGATGGCATCAACTTGGTGGCTCGAATTACTATTTACAATTGTGCCGTCGTCATGCAACTGGCGCTCAACGATCAGTCACCGACGTCGCGGCCATATCATTCCAGCCAGCGCCCTCCACAACCGCAACGCCCCACCGCCGCCTTCAGTCGCGCATCGATACGAGTCCAAAGTCCAACACCAGCTCGACGAGTCCGCTCCACTAGTCAGCGCTACCACGCTCCGTGTTCATGAGTGCGAATCGTGCTATTCAAATAGACTCTCTTAAACAACAACCAGTCGTTGCAGAGTCCCAGGACACACTCGCTGTACAAAACCGGACCCTATCCTGGGTCCAACCCTCGTCTGTTTGGTGGCGAACAGTTCTGCCATCACTAAAGGATTGACCCTCAACGCCAGAGCAAGAATGGCCCGAAGCCTAGATACCCGAAGCAAAATGCCAACGCCTTGTCCTCTGGCTCGAGTACCCACGAGCAGGTGTTTACAGTAGAGCCATGGCCCTATTCAACCCACTCTCCAACCCAGGATTCGTAGTACGCTGTAGGTGGTGCCGGACGTCAGCATTTTGTGGGCTGGACGTAAGCTTTTTTGCGGGGCTTCGGTGCTACCAGCTGCCTCAATGTGGTGAGCGTCGTCAAAGTGCTGGATAAGAAAACGCAACCAAAAGAACCTGTTGAGTAGATCAATGAAGCGATTTGTGAATATGCCAGCGCTGATTGGACGACTACGAGGAAGCCAACCTTTGGCGATGAGGTCCCACGACTTGTGTTCAGTATCAGGACTATTAGTAGAGATGTCAGATGGTGGTTTCAATTCGCTTATCCAAGTACCTCGCCACCTAGGTACGCGCATGTCGCTAGTGCGATTTGGCGACGCGCATACTCTCTAAGCGAATACGAAGGCGAAGAGTAGGTTTAGGTTCAAGAATCCTGTTGCATCTACTAATCGCGGGCGAGAAATAACGTGACAGGGTGGCATGTTGATCGGCTGCTATAGGCTCGCTTCGATAGCGCTCAGTGTTTGATTGTCAGCGACCATGGCCCTTCTCGTCTCGGCACACCAGCGTGACGATGCTCTGCACCCGGCGCCGACGTGCACGGAGCCCGAGTGTCATCACTGCACCAAGAAGCCCAAGCTCGACGCGTCCCCGGGCAAAGGCGCCTCCACGACGAGCAAGCCGAGCTCGACAAACACGACGCCAATGCCCCCACGCCCGTCAAGTCCCGTCCTCACAGACAGCACCGTGTCTCTCGGGAGTTTTTGGACCGACGACATTCCGCAAGCGACAATAGAGAGCGTCGAGAACGAGATTCGAAGCTGGCGCAACGCCATCTTACGGGGCGAGACACCCGACTTGTTCGAAACCTGTGATCGATGGGAGATCATCGATGACGGCGAAGGCGACCCAACCTTTCATGATTGCGTCGAGTTCCTCTTGGATGCGATGCTGAGCCCGAACACAGGGTCGAACGCAGTTGCTAGCTAGCGGTCTACAGAATGGCCACTTTCTATAATTTATGTAACCGAGTCATCGTGCCAAAATTTCATGCGTGCAGCTCGTGTGCCAACTTGTTGTTGGAGTGAGTCTACTTGGATATAATTTACACTGAACTGTGTGCAACGCGTCGTGGTCTTGCGCCTCGAGCAGGTCGTCGAGCACAGTGGTCTGCGCTTTCAAACGCGTGCGCTGCTTTCCGAGCGCCGTCAACTGGACGTCCATGAGGTCTTGCATGTCGTGGTACGAGTCTTCGAGCGCCTCGAAGCGGTCTTGGTGCGCCTTTTGCAGCGCCGCGAGCTGTCGCTGCTGGTCGCGAACCAACTTTTGGTTCGTCGCGAGCTCCTTCCTGAACGCGTGCAGTAGCGACACAATGGCATCGGGATCGCCGGCCACAGCGTCCTCGAGGAGCTGTATGTCCGGCGTCTCCAGCGTCGGTGTTGTAGGAGCCATCGCAAATCGCGTTGTTGTGTTGGACGCTGCCAAATCCAGGCCAGGTTCATTTAATGCAATGACATACAAAGGTCAAACTATCATTAAATTAGGATTTATATGATTCAAAGCAATTGGTGGTGGACTAGCGATTCCAAGGTGCTACGACGAGCCGGCGGCCGAGAGGCTTAGCCGAGCGGGAGACGTGGCGTGAATGGCACATGTCGGAACGAAGTTGTTGCGTAGCCATGCGTCGTGACGCGGGGTTGTCATCATTTGGAAGAGGCATAATGCTTGAGTGTTCAGCAGCAAGTGTTGGAGGTGCAGCTTGGTCAAGGACGCGGCTCGATGGGCGGTGTGTGCCAACTTGTTACAGGAGTACACTACTGTATGCGTTTGACAGGTCCATTTGATATTTGGACTCGTGAGTGTTTGCTGCTGTTGAAGAGTGAAGCCTACAGAAGTGCATGGACGAGGGCTGCACACTATAAGAACTTGGCGAAAGCGGACCAACCCACGCCCTCTTTATAGTAAAAGAGCACGACTTTTGAGTCATTTCCTAGTACTATTATGAACATCATTTTTCAATGTGGTGCATGTATGCCACGCAACTCTGTTGCGGCAGGCAAACAGAGAAGATGATGCCATCGCTCCAACCAAGGGTCGAAAGACTTGTCCGGATATCAGGGTCCGATTTGCACTCTCCTTAGATGATGCGAGCTCGTTTGTTGATCGAGGCTTTCGTTCATTGCACGTCGTCAAGGGACGAGGTGGCGTGTACCTCGTTGCCATTCTTGCATTGGTTGCCTTCGGCCGGGTTCTTGCTTGCAAGGATGTGGCGCCAAGATTCTCGGTATGGAATGTCGCTGCGTGCTCAGCAACAACCGCGTCGTGATTCGCGATTGGACCAGACGAGACTGTACTTGCAGCTAGTAGCACCCACCATCCTTCGGCGAAGGGACCGCACAACATGCCCCTCGAATCACAATCACCCCGCAGTCTCGTTTTGCAATTTCAACTGCCAATCAAATGCGTTCTCAAAAGTAGATTGATGGTCTCAAAATACGATGCTGGTCTGTAGACCTTCATTCCGCATTTTGCACCTTGGATGCACGACGGGCATTATTCAATCCCCCATCTCCAAACCAGCATCATCATCATCATGTCGTCGACCGTGTGCTGCTTTAACGGCTGCTTCAACGCGCCGCTCGCGCCGTCGGACAAGTGCGTCTTTCACCGCAACCGCGCCCAGTGCCTTGTTGACGGCTGCGTCAACCAAGTCTATGCGCGGCACCTTTGTGTCCGTCACGGCGGCAAAAAGACGTGCGCATTT